TTTGAAAGTAGATTCCCAAGTAACATTTTAAGTTTTATGAAATACTACAAAGCAACTATAAAACAACATTCATAAAACCCTGGTCAAGGCTATCTTGTCATTAATGCATCCACCATAACCTCATTAAGACTAGAATATGTCTAGTTGGCCCACCCTGCAGAAGGTTCTGAAGGGTGTATTCTTGAAGCTCTTCAAGATTGATTTACTGCAAAAGGTTGTATGACGAACGCATTGAGAACCATTTGAAAACTACAACAAAAGCTATTTAGCAACAATCAAAACCCTTTCCGAGCCATTTCCCCTAGCCGCTTACTAAATCCACTAGGAAAGCATCAATCAAGATAGAAAAGGATTTATGAATCCGATCTTATCAAAATAATTATATTAGAAACTGATGGTATAAAAATCGTGTTGAATATCCAAATTTATTACAATAGTTCTCATTATGTGGCCTAGTTTTAAGTGCCTTATTAAGTTTCATGTGAAGTGTACATGAAAACATCGAAAAAAATAGGTCCGCTCTCGTAAAACGTCGATTTGACTAATTATTTTACATTGAATAAAATAAATTATTTTTCAGATCGAGCTAGGCTGAGATTATTTTTTTATGATATTCGCATTTAAATGCTTGCTTATTGCTAAATTTACCAAAATATAGTTATATCCAAGGAAATATAGATAGAAAATCGAAGATTGTAAAAAACAAGCAAACTAATTGTAACATGGCGGTGGCATAAAAGTTGATTTTCATGGGTCACTTGTGAAAAAGTTGTTTGGCTTTTAAGAAATCCTTAACAAAATCCTTAGGTTTTAAAATGGTTTTTATGAAGAAAACTTGCAGACTGAATTGTATTTATCTAAAGCCATTTTGCTTGATCTTAACCCGTTCAGATTTATGGCAGCATTTATGGAGGCAAAGTTGCTTGCAAAAGTTAAACGTCAAAGTTTGTTTATCTTTCGATAGTTGCGCTGTGAGATTCAGCGTTCTTCCAGGCGATTATCTCCCGATGGCTTCCCTAATAAAATTGTTATGGTTATTTTGCTTAACGACGTGTTCCGGGTATCATCCAAACCATTTATGGAATAGTTCTATTATTTGGGTTATCGTTCGTTTATGGTTATTTTTTATTAGGGTTGGAAGCAGTTACTAAGAAAGTGTTCACAATATTTCGCATTTCGCAAAGCTGTAACCTCGATAATTCCCGAAAAGATCCCCTTCTTCCGGATGGTTCTGGAAGTGCACCATCAAACGATGCAGAAATGTACAGTTGAATTAATTTTTTCCAAGTGATGACCCTTTCACCGAATAAAATAGCAGCTATGGATCGGAAACCAACTAGTGTCCGCTAACTGAAAGTTTCAGTGGTTTGCTGTCGGTACTGACACAAGTTATTCCGATCTTCATCTATTCGCAAGGTCTGGAGAAGGTTGGTTTGTTTTCAGGCTGTTTTGACAATGTTTTATGAATTTGAGGACCACGCTCACTTCTCTCTTCTCCACCAGATGCTCAGTCGTTGATTGTAACCGTTCCGCCGGACGTTCTGGTTCTTCTAAAGAACTAAATTTTACTTCGTTAGCATCGCTTGAATTTTTCTTCCAACTTCGTTTATCCTTCGATATATCCTTGTCATAAATTTGGTTTTTATTCACTGTGAGGATCCATCCTTAAAATTCAATTTGTAAACAGAGGAGATTTTATGGTACACTTTTAAAAGCCTAAAAGGCAACAATATATACCATTTGCTCTCATTTAAAACTTTATGGTTATATGATTGCTTTTATAATGATAGAACAGGTTTATAGAGTATTTTATCAAGACATTAATAAAAAATTGCTAATGAAGTTTATGATTGATTTATAGAACAGTTTTGTGGTGGGATTGAGAACAACTTTAAATTTAATTTTAAAACAAGGCAGTTTTTGACTTCTCGACAGACTGTAAAAGGTTTTTAAAACAGCGAAAAGGTGAACTACTAAGCAGGAACGTGTTACACTGCGAAATGCTGGATTTAAACTAAATGGATTATTCATTGCCATTATAAAACCATCATAAATCAGAGTGGATGCCAAATGATTGCAGAATTGTTACTTGGGTTGTTTGATTCAACCCAATGGTCAAGTCTTAATAGGATCATTTTTTCTAATAATTTTCTCAGGTAAGAATTGTGATCAGACGCTGGTTTCCCAGGCTTTTGAATAGCTAATACTTTAACCTGTCTCAATGCTGGTGGTTTTTTAGAAGGTCGAATTTGATCATATCGCTTCCCGGAGCAGAGTTATTCGATGAAAGAAGTGCCATTGAAAATTCCAGCATTTTGAATGGTTCATCCAGAGAACCGTTACTTCAGGCTGTATCCCGTAAAGTTGGTTGTGCTGGAACAGAATCTGGACAAACCTTTTTAGCGAAGTCGAATATCCATTGGGAGGAGTATTCTTCACTCTCATTGGAAGATGAGCGGTTTCGCATATAGCGAGCCTTTTTCCAAAGCGTTGTGATCGAGGTTTCTCTAGAAAGTCCCCCGATAAAAGTACGCCAGTAATTTCGTTTCTTTGCTTTTAGTAAGTTTTCAAGCTTTAGATACTTTTCAAAAAGCTCAGATCTTTCATGTCTACGATAATCTTTAAAGGCATCGGATTTTTCAAGATATAACTTTGTGCATTCGTCATCCCATCCAGGGGTGGCGGGTCTTCTTTTGAGGGATGCACTTGGAACACGTCGTTTCTGAGCTTCTAATGCGCTTTTGTAGATTAGTTCGGTAAAGAAACGATACTCTTCCAGTGGTGGTAGAGAATCGGTAGAATCGATACCAAGAGTTACCGCCGATACAAATTTTTGCCAATCAATGTTCCTCGTGAGGTCAAAAGGAACTTGAATTGACTGATCTGTTTTTAGACGACCACTTTTGATTGAAATAATAATTGGTAAGTGATCACTACCATGAGGATCATTGATAACCTTCCACAGACAATCTAATGATAGTGAGTTAGAGCACAAAGAAATGTCAAGACGGCTCTCTCGAGCAGGAGGGTTTGCTATACGTGTTGCTTCACCAGTGTTCAAGATAGTCAAGTTGAAATCGTCGCACAAATCATAGAAAATACCCGCTCTATTGTCATCGTATGATTCGCCCCAACCAGTACCGTGTGAGTTCATATCGCCCAGTATTAGAACTGGAGATGGGAGGATATTAACTTAACTCCAAAGCTGGCGGCGGTTTATGGAAGTCCTTGGAGGGGCATATACAGAAGCTATGCAAAGATCTTTGTTCTTCACATTTATTTAGCAAGCGAAAACTTCAATGCCTGAAATTATTGGGATTGAGATTTTATAGAAGGAGTAGCAATTTTTGATCCCCAAAAGTACGCCACCATATGAATCATCTCGGTTCAGGCGGATAATGTTAAAATCATGGAAGTTTAGTTTATCTTCAGAAGAAAGCCAAGTTTCACAGAGTGCAAATATATCACAATCAGAATTGTGAATCAAATACTTGAACGAGTCTAATTTAGGTATTAAACTACGACAGTTCCATTGTAATAAAGTGGTCATATCTTGATCCTCACTCGACGAATTATCCATCGAAAGATATGAATTCACCAATGAGGGGCCATGATGCAGTCAATTGCTTGAAGTAGTTTCCGACTATAGGAACAAGCAGGTCAATAAGCCCTCGAAGTGGCGATTCGTCGGGAAAGCCGAGGGCATTCAAAATATTATCCACAATGTCCTTAAATTTAATCTTTCCTCGCTTGGACGGGAGAGTTTTCTTTGAATTGCGAGTAGACGTGGTGTTTATTTTTGGTAACCTCTTACGATTACCGTTATTAGGTAGCGGCGGGTTGGAATAGCTGCAGCAAGGATCAGAAGGAGCAGCAATTACCGATGTGTTCGGCTTTTTCAATGAATCCACTCTACCTCCAGATTTTTGCGAGCTTTTGAGAGTCTTTTTCCGGCGCACTCCCGGGGTGCTAGTCGGCTTCCTTTTACCGGGGGCGTGTACCTCCGGAGACTCACTCTCGTCTGCTATATCAGAGTCCATTTAGTAGGAAGACAAAATCTCAAAAGTGTTTCATTTTGTGCGGCTGATGCCAACGAAGCAGAGGTTCCATTTTGCAACTTTACCATTTCTGCATACGTCAGCTTGGAGCGTTCTTTTATTGAACGCTTCACATTGTTGGTACGCTTCTTGTGTCACCCCTCGGTCGAAAGTCTATATGAAGATTTGATCGTGTCGAATCCAGTGTGTACCTTGGGTGGATCCACTCTGCCAGAAGTTGGTACCTACTTCTATCCAAGAGATACTTGGCCGATAATTCATCCGAGTAAACGATCAACGGATGCTGCGGAATTCACTTCCCACATCGAAATCGCCTGAAACCAAATCATCTCACTAACACAAGCAAATCGCACCAATACGAACCCGCCTGGATAGTACTATAAATTTACACGCTGCATAAGTGTTCGTGAGATACTACTTGCGGAGCTCAATAGCAAATAGATCAAAGTAAAGTATTATCCAAATCATGCAACATTTGGATCAGTTTCTTAGCCAGATCCAAAAAATTGAATCAGCATCTGGTAAGAAATGAAACTCAGAACGCCACGGTGCAGGATTTTAGAACAGCCCAGATCGAAATATTCGGATCTATACCAGTTTTCAATCAAGATTGGAGATGTCCTAAGGACATCTTAAGGGATGGTTTGTTTAATGATCCAAATGTATGCATCATTTAGACCAACCTAAATGAAATAGGTCGGACCAAATACATCAAAATTGTGTGCCGTTGGTCTATTTTTGGTCAATATACCAATTTCAGACTTCAAAAGAAACTTGTGTGTTGTTATGTATGCATGTATTTTCGAATTTATCTTGAGAACGAAAAAAATGTCATTGTTGCGCGACCAAGTTATAGCTAAATCTATTGCCTAATTGCCAGAATTACAGCAACGCAGGATGCCCAAAGATGGAAAGTGATAGCTCTATTGTAGATCCAGCGACCCATTTCAAACCGTATATTTATTCTCATTCAATATAATATTCCATTCCTATGACAAAATAGAGCCCAATAAAGCAAATTATTCCCAAAAACCTGAACTTAGCCGAACATTTCAGTACTTCCGCAACCGATACAAGGCGCAGCTCAAAACTTATCCTTCGCCGCACGCAATTCCTGCATCGTTTCCAGCGGTGTGCCCTTGCCAACGTACTTCTGCACACTCACTTCGTGCACCCGCATAAACACATTGGTTCGCTTCTCCTGCCCAATCGTCGAAGGGACCATCGCCCGGCGACCGTCCAGATCCGCCTCCTTGGCAATGTTCAGCAGCTGCAGCGTGTCCACATTGTCCGGTTCGACAGTATTTCCGAACCGAAGGTTGTTCAACGCATACTCGTGTCCACAGTACACCTTGGTATCATCGGGCAGGGCCGACAGCTTGGTGATCAGTGCATCGTACATCTGTTGAGGGGTTCCCTCGAAGAATCGACCACACCCGGCCAGGAAAAGGGTATCCCCGGTGAAGACCACCTTATCCTCCGGAGTCTCGATGTAGTAGCAAATGTGCGACGACGTGTGGCACGGAGTGGAAATACAGCGTACTTTTAGGTTTCCAATCTCCAACGTATCATCCTGAGCAACGGGATTGGTCAAATTGTCAATGCGTTTGTCGTTTCCACCGTAGATCAACAGCTCTCCCAACGAGGGATCCGCTTGGTAGCGCTTGAACAAATCCGCATTGCCACCGGCGTGGTCCCAGTGGTGATGAGTCGTGAGAACCTTGTTCAACGATACGCCAGCTTCCTTGGCCACCTGCAGCACACGATCCGGCTCAACGGGATCGACAATAGCTGCATTCTTGGTTTCATTGCACACCACCATGTACATGAAGTTGTCCTTCAAGGCGGGGATTTTCTTGACTGTCATACGCGTCATGTCCGTGGTTTGTACCGATGTGGAACGCCGACGAATGCTCCAACTGTTGACTGAAATTAACGGTTGTTTGTTTATTCAACCATATCATTCCGCCTATAGGAAGCCATAAAATCTCTTACCCGTAAAGTAAGCCGCTGTCAGTCCCTGAGATAAGCGGTGGGGCAATCGATTCAACAAAGAGGACATCAAAATTGGCCAATCGGAACAGGCATGCAAGGAATGGTGAACTGGTTAAACAATGCAGATGGTTGCACAGCAATGATCTTATTTATTGAACTTCACAAGAAAGCGAACAAACACCGTCAATCTTCTACTAAATATGCACACTTACTGATAACGAAGTGCTATCACTATATTCAACAGAAAGATAATAAAAATACTGCAGAATGAATGCCTGTGCAGGATGACAATCACAAAATTTGCTATTCCCAAAACAAAGTTTAGAAGGGTGCGTTCATAGTGAATGCGACCAGCGACGCGTGACGTAATATTTAACGCAAAAATAAATCAAGAGCAAATTTTCATTACGTCGAATGTAACAAAGGTAAACAAAGTCGAGCTATCAGTGTCAATCGATGCTCCTGCTATTACACTATATACTGTCCGAATATAGGATCACATCCCATTTTTAAATTTATTTACCAGTCGAATTGCTTTTTGACGTAATCACCTTCCGATCAAAATAGTTTTCGATGTTACTTAAGTCACCCGATTTCTATGGAGATGCCGTTTGCCTTAAGTAACAGCACTGAGAAACCCGTGAAAAGTGTACTTTCGTCGTTTCGCTTTCTCATTATTAAAGTGAATAAATCGAACTGTTTGTTGCTAAGATGATTTCGGTGGTCCTAAAATGATGAATGGGCTGCACGTAAGGAGACGTAATTGATAATTCTCTCGAATATCCTGGTAAATACACTTTGACTTAAGTAACAATAGGGGCCACCAAACGACGTATAATAACTTTTGACTCAAAAACCAGTATTTCTTAGCATGAAAGCTAGCGATTTGCTTTTGTATGATTAAAACCCGGCTAAATATGTTAAACATTGCTATCACTATGAGATTATATGTGTTTAATTGGAAATAGGAATAACTTTTCGGTCTTCAAAACAAAACTTTATTTTTCTCGGATCGGTGCGAATGTTACTTACGACATAATGAAAATTTGCTCTTGAAATGTAAAAACTATAAATTATTGATAATATATAGACGTGCTTGGGCTGAGTTTCAATTGCCGAGTTAAATTTATCTCGTAGTTAAAAGTGGCGGATCGAAAGTTATCGAACAGCCCTCTATTCGAACGTGGCTGTCCTGAACAAACTAAAAGTTAGATTTTGTCAGCCAAAGCCGACTTCTTTTCGAAGACTGGGCAGGGATTTTCAAACATTGAAAATAACTTTCAAACATTCAATGTTAACTTTAACCTGACAATGAATTACATCATTCGAGTAGTTTTAAATCACGTTTTCTACCACTCGAACTTTGCCGTGAAAGGATATTTCAATATTTTTTCTTCTAGATCGTCGAGAAAATAGGGTTTTATTCATGCTCAGCTTGAAACATCTGGAGTTTATTGCATTATCTTAAAACCGCTGGTAGAAGGTTGTCTTAAAACTGCTCGACAATGTGATAAATTGGGAGGCAGCTAACCCGCATAAACGCAAACCATCACTTGACCTTACCGATAATGGTTATAAATTGTTTATAATCCCTCCTAAACTTTAACTGAAATGTTTTTGGAACCTTACATGAACGTTTATGTGATAAAGTCTTAACCTTATGTATTATGGTTGTAAGGAAGCGGACCTTACAAATAATGGGTCGTTAAGAACCATTACCATTCCAAATTCTTGTTTTCTCCATACATTTTCGGAAAGAGAACTATATTAGAACGTTTTTACTTATGGTTTGAGAACATTAATGATTATGGTTATGGTAGTCAGTAAGGTCCATTAATCGTTAGGTATTATCGCTCAACTTTACGTGGAATATATCGCGAACTGATAATTATTAATTTACAGGCAACCAATTCGCGATATATTCCACATAAAGTTGATCGATGTTACAAAACCATTCATGTGGTTCCGATAAACAATTTATAACCATTATCGGTAAGGTCAATTTATGGTTCGCGTTTATGCGGGAATGGATGCTATCGTTTATCGTGATACTATCTATTACCAATTCAGAGAAAATTAGCATTGCATTTGACTGTGGTTGTCAAATAATCTGACGCATTATACTATTTTTTTTTCTGTATACACATCTTCAATATCATAAGTAATAATGTAATATTCTCGATTATATTATAGTTGAGTTGAATTTGATGCGTTGCGTCGCATGTCACGCTCACTCTGTACACTGTCATTTACGACCGCGCTCTCCAAATCCGAACAGACTCTTCTGAGAACAACTGAACCAATTCACATCGAATATTAGTATGGGAACTGGGGCCTGACACGGCCGTTGAATCCAACTCTAAAGGGCTGATCACAATGACAGCGGCATAGCGACATAGCGGCACAGCGGCAAACGCGCAATGCATGCCCTTAAAATCTATTTATTTTTCCTCTTCCGCTGCATGCTGTACGTAAACAAACCACGTAAACGGGATTATTTTGATTGCAGTTTTGAGTTATTATTTATTTGAATAATCTCTGAAAGATCAGAAGAAGGTCTTCTGAATAATTATTCAATCTGAAAGCTTGTTAAACTATCCAAAGGGCTTCGAAATTCTCCGAAGTTCAGTGATCGTCTCTCATATGCATTAACTTAAAAAGTAAGAGGTTGTATCCAAGACACGACCATAGATTTGACGTAGGATTACGTGCTCGGTATCAATATTCGGCGAAATAAGCGATGATTGAATAAGCACCGTTCGGCAAGACTGATAATTTTGATCACCATTGCAACAGTTGAACATTTGTGTAATTTTCAGCAGTGACCTATTAATAAGGTGTAAATTTTATCTGATTTGTAGAAAAATTTGTTTTGAATTAAAATCCATCCGCTGCGGACTGAGCTATAAGTGGTCGAAACCTAACCACTTTTCGTAAGGCGGTCGATTTTGGTTTTTTGAAATTTCACCCCCAATATGTTGCCTAAAGACGTAATCCTTCGTCAAAAAATACAAGATCCAAAATGGTTTCGATTCGTCATTTGGTGTGGAACTAAAATCATCAGAGTCTGTCATTTTGAATACTATTGTTAATTTTGGAACAATGAAATCTTTTCATGTCACAAATCCTAGAAAATTTCTTCATTTGTGGAGCATTGAATGCACGTCCATAGAGGATTTTCCAAAATTTTAGATTTCACATACCTTACTGTTACACTTTTCTGAAATTTCTAGCCCCTGGTCTAGCACCATAATCTTGAACAGTTTTCTAAGACTAGGATTTTTAAATTTATTCTTAACCTTTCAGCACAGACAAACAGACATAACACATTGTATATTTCTCACTGTAAAACATCGTCGTTAAAACATTACTGCCATCTGTTGAGTACACTGTGGTGAGTAGTACGCTGAACAGATGGCGGTAGTGTGTAAACGTCAAATGCAAGGGAATTGACTATGCGCGCCACAGGTGGCGGTACTACCAACTACGATACTTTTAAATTGACCGTTAAATACTTGTTCGATGAACAACCTGCGAGTGTTATGTCTGTTTGTCTGTGCTTTCAGTACTCGCTCCAACTTTTGTAACGCGAGCGCTCGCGCGTTGTACTTTGTACAACACATGTGGGCTGTCCCTCCCTTAGCTCAGTCGGTAAAGCCGCAGCTACAAAGCAAGACCATGCTGGTGCTGGGCTCGGTTCCCAGTCCGGTCTAGGAATTTTTCAGGTTCGACTTCGCTGGGCATAGAGTATGATCACAGACAAACAGACGTAACTCTTTGAAAACCTTGTTCTTGAAAACATAGTATCTCAAAACATATAACCTCAGTAACGACATCTATCTGGCTTCTCGCGGAAAACAAGCTTGCTCGCTAACTCGTAAACAATATTGCATAAAAGTTCTATAGAATATATAGAAACGTCAAAGTGATCCGATGCCAGCGCTGCGGTGAGTTGTTCGCGGAACTGATAATATTCAAATCAACCGTTAAATGCATGAACGAAGATACACAATGAAGAGTTACGTCTGTTTGTCTGTGGTATGATTGTACTTGCCATACAATTATGCTAATGCAGAAATGGTACAGTGGCATCGAAAGCTCTCAATTAATAACTGTGGAAGTGCATCTAGAACACTAAGTTGAGAGCACGCAATAAGCTAAAATGCGATAAGCAATAAACTTGAAATGCAAATAAGAAGCAGAAGAAGATGAGGGCTGTCCGTTCCTCCTCGGAATATCTCATGATCGTGACCTTATAGAAGTTTACAGTCTTGGGCGATTTTTTTCAGTAGGTCAAATTCTTTTGGTTGGTGGACTTATGTTCAGAAATTTCTAGTGTGCAAGTGATTTTCCTAAATACACTATATCTTGAGCTCCAGGTTACAGTCTTCGACAAAGTTGTTCGGTAGGTTTAGGTTTTGATTGATGGATAGAAGTTAAGAATTTTCACACTGCACAGTATAAGCATAGAGGTAACTCTAAGACCACTGGGTCCCGAAGAAAATCATTATTATTTTTGGCTCACTCAGTACCAGAACAACGGTCCCAAGCAGTCCCAAGCTATTTCACTCACCCCTGCATGTTCTGCATGAATCCACACACCCCTGATGTTATCTGTCAAACTTTCATAGCGAATCAAAACAAACATAGTGTAGTAATAGAATTTCAACTAGAATAGGGTACGTTAATCGTTTGCTTGGGACCAATAGGCTACTAAAGTGGTGAGCCAATTTAAAATCGTTAGTTTCGTATTGATTGTTGGTATAAGTGTGCATATGAATTCCTTGAATATGCTATATTTTGCGATCTTTATCATATAGAAGGTTGCAGTCTTCGGCAAATTTGTTTAGTAGGTCAAGGACTTTCTGTTTATGGACATACACACTTAAATTTTTTCGCCGCGATTCCAACAGCCGAGCAGTTCTGCAATATATTTTGCTGAGATTCAGTAAAACATTTGCCGAGACTCAGCTAACAAATAACATTTTGCTGAGATATCAGCTGACAAACAGATATTTTGAAGAGATATCAGCAAAAGTAAATGCCGAGGTATTCGGCTGTTGGAGATTTTACCGAGCTAGATTAAGTGTGTACACACTTAAATTTTTTCGCCGAGATTCCAACAGCCGAGTAGTTCTGCAATTTATTTTGCTGAGATTCAGTAAAACAATTGCCGAGACTCAGCTAACAAATATCATTTTGCAGAGATATCAGCTAACAAACAGATAT